AGCGACCACAAATCAATTACATTTAGAATTGAATGGAAGTATGATAGTAGGGATAACTCAGTAACAGTCCCAGATTTTCGCTTAGCAGATTACGATGGGCTTAGAGAACACTTATCATCTGTTGACTGGGGTAACGAAGAGAGCTATCAATATGACAGTTTTCTGAACACAATACATGCTGCTCAAAGAACGTTTATCCCTTATAAGGAAATTAGATCAAATAGAAATGACCCTAAATGGATGAATAATAGCTGAAAATATCTACTAGGGCTTAAGAAAGGAATTTATAGGCGTATCAAAAGAGGCGAGGGTCATCTTATGAATCTGTATATTGACATTAAGAGGGACATTAAAAAGGGGATAAGAAAAGCTAAAAGGGGGCTATGAAATTAAAGTTGCTAGGGATTCTAAAACTAATCCAAAAAATTTTTTCCAGGTATATAGAAAAAAAGTCAGAGATAAGATAGGTCCCTTAAAAATAACAAAGGGATTCTTACTGACAAAAAGAATGAAAAAGTGCTCGATTTTAAATAATTATTTTCTCTCGGTTTTACACAGGAAGACACTAATAATATTCCGGTAATTAAATTTTTTTAGTGGATCAGGGAAAAAGATAAATTATGTAACCCTCACAGTCATAGTGAAATGGTTGCGAAGCAGATAGACCGACTGAAGCAAAATAAGTCAAAGGGTCCTGATGAGGTTTTTTCAAAGGGTTCTTAAGGAATGCAAAATGGAAGTCTGTGAACCATTAACTAATATTTTTAATTTATCTCTTCAAACAGGTGTAGTGTCTGATATGTGGAAGAGGCTAATGTAATTCCCATTTTTAAAACAGGGGACAAGTCGTTTTCCGTCAAATTACCGCCCAATAAGCCCGACCTCAATTGTAGGCAAGTTGCTAGAGTCAAATTATACTGAGAAATAAGAAGCCATCTCGATAAGCATAGCTTGATTAATGATACTCAGCATGGATTTCCCAAAAGGCCGGTCTTGTCTAACTAATTTATTAACTTTCTTCAGTAAAGCTTTGAGGCTGTTGACCACGATAAAGAATTTGATATTGTTTACTTAGATTTTAGTAAGGCATTTGATAGAGTTCCGCCCCAAAGACTTTTGAAAAAGTGCAGCTCATGGCATGGGGGGAGGGTGCTCTCGTGGATCGAGTCATGGCTCCAGACAGGAAGCAAAGAGTGTCCATAAATGGGGTTAAATCCGAGTGGGGATCAGTAACAAGTGGCTTTTCCACAGGGATCAGTTTGGGCCCGTTGTTGTTTATAATATATATCAATGGATCTTGAGAAGGAATTGCAAAGTGATATGAGCAAATTCGCCGATGACCGAAGATAGGTAGGATAATTGATTCAAACGTAGATGTTAGGGAACTTCAGGAGGATTTAGACAAACTCTACTCTTGGTCAGAAAAGTGGCAGATGCAGTTCAATGTGGATAAATGCAAAGGGTTTTGAAGCTCGGAGTGTCTTTAACCCCCAGCACTTATAAGTTAAAAATGTAGAACTTAGCCATACAGATTGCGAAAAGGACTTAGGGGTTATGGTAAGCAGCAACCTTAAACCAAGACAGCAATGCCTAAGCGTACGTAATAAAGGCAAATAGATTACTGGGATTTTTTATCAAGAAGTGTAAGCAACAGAAGTCAGAGGTCATACTGCGCTTTATACATCATTAAATAAGGCCTCACCTAGATTATGCAGCTCATTCTGGTCTCCATATTACAGAATGGACATAAATTCCCTTAGAAACATTCAGCGTAGGAAGACTAAACTAATACATGCATTAGAAATCTTCCTTTTGAAGAAAGATTGAAGACTCTTAAGTTACATTCACTTGTTAGACGAAGAAATGAGGGGGGACCTGATCGAAGTTGTATAAGTGGAAAAATAGGTATTTAATAAAGGGGATATTTAAACAAGGTCTTGAGGATATCTCTCCAAAAGAAAAACCCGCAGTAATGGATTTAAATTAGATAAGTTTAGATTTAGAAAGGACATAGGAAAGTATTGTTTTGGAAATAGGGTAGTTGATGAGTGGAACAGTTACCTAGTTGGGTTATTGAGGCTAGGACTTTGGGTAGTTTCAAATTTAGGTTGGATAAATACATGAGTGGGAAGGGTTGGATTTGAGAGGGACTTGCACATCAGAGCTTATTTCTTGGGTAGCATTGAAAATTGGGTTGGTCAAATGTTTGTTAGTGGGATGAATTCTAAAGGACCTGCCTAGTATGGGCCAACAGGCCTGCTGCAGTGTTCCTCCTTTCTTATGTTCTTATGATCCTCAACTAGAGCATGATCCTCAACTAGAGCATGATAGCATGATCCTCAGCTAGAGCATGATAGCATGATCCTCAACTAGAGCATGATAGCATGATCCTCAACTAGAGCATGATAGCAGATCCCAACTGAGCATGATAGCATGATCCTCAAAATAGAGCATGATAGCATGATCCCCAGCTAGAGCATGATAGCATGATCCTCAACTAGAGCATGATAGCATGATCCTCAACTAGAGCTGATAGCATGATCCCCAAACTAGAGCATGATAGCATGATCCTCAACTAGAGCATGATAGCATGATCCTCAACTAGAGCATGATAGCATGATCCTCAACTAGAGCATGATAGCATGATCCTCAGCTAGAGCATGATATCATGATCCTCAACTAGAGCATGATAGCATGATCCTCTGCTAGAGCATGATAGCATGATCCTCAGCTAGAACATGATAGCATGATCCTCAGCTAGAACATGATAGCATGATCCTCTGCTAGAGCATGATCCTCAGCTAGAACATGATAGCATGATCCTCAGCTAGAACATGATAGCATGATCCTCAGCTAGAACATGATAGCATGATCCTCAGCTAGAACATGATAGCATGATCCTCAGCTAGAGCATGATAGCATGATCCTCAACTAGAGCATGATAACATGATCCTGAGCTAGAGCATGATCCCAGCTAGAGCATGATCCTCAACTAGAGCATGATAGCATGATGAATCACATCTGCATCCTCGCAGAATCTATACAAGAGAACATGGCAGCTCAAACAGGTAAGTAACCGAACACAGAGTCAATAATTTACGATCCCAATGTAATTTTGTTTTCTTAGTAGTTTTATATGAGGAGAAGAATTTAACAAAATTTTATTAATTTCCTAATATAGAAAAACTTGGTCCGAAGTGTGTCAACTAAATATATTGTCTTACTGAAGACTCGAACGTTTTGGTAGAGACAGTGTTCGGTAACATGTAAAAGTGAATCAGTAAGTTTATTCAGGTATGCACAAATACAGTTAGATATATTATCATATATAGCAGCGTTTGTGTAGAGAACCTGGGATAACCCAAAAAAGTCAGAGTGACTTATTTTCATGTATGTCAGTCACTGCGCAATCCGGCAAAGGTATCCTCGTATTCCATAACCGCAGTCCCCTGCACCTCCATGCACACTACTGGAACAGCGCAGATCCATGCACACTACTGGAACAGCGCAGATCCATGCACACTACTGGAACAGCGCAGAGTGCGGAATACATTAGTAATGCTGTTAAATATTTGCTCTGAAGATTTGAAGGGGTCAAAATAGGCATCCACAAATTATCATATATAAACTAATATCAAAATTTCTTCAATAAAAACGATCAATTATGACATATACACAGTAAAGCTAGATCATATCTCTCAGTGTAACCAAAGAGACCAGTAACCTAAACACAAGCAAATTAAGCTTAAAGTCGCTCAGATTTTGCTATGTCAAGTTATCAGTATGGAAGGGTTGAAGATAATCAGATGCGACACTCAGAAATTATTGCATGAAAAACAGTATAAAAGCAAATTGGAACCTTACCTCTGAGTCCACCTCTGTTCTTGGCTTACCCCTGACCAGCAAAGGTGTTATACCGTGACAAATCAAACTACATACTGTATTTTGTTTTACTTTCCCAGGATTAACGAATAAAAATTGTGATCTGCAGTTCTTTGATTCTTTCTTACACTTGTGACTATTTCTAGTCTTGATTTGTGTCTAAATCTACCTCTTTCCCACCACACATTACCCTCAGCATACTTTTTCCCCCCCGATCCCGCCCAAAAAATTTAAACCTATGCTTTACACCCCGTAAAGGT